AAAAACTGTGAGGGTGATGACAGTGCATGACGAGCAAAAGCGGATAATATTTTCTAGCGATGGGCTTGGGTTGTTATAAATGGTATCAGAACCAGACACTAGGCAGTGTGCCCTTAAGGATGCATGGGCTCCCAAGGGGGTGGACTGTGAGATCCCACGATGGTTGGAGAAAGGAACGAAACATTTCTTATAAGGGTGTGAAAACTTCTCCCAAACAAATGCGTTTTAAAAATCGTGAGGCTGACAGCGATACGGGACAATACATTTTCAGTTTTAAAAATCATGAGGCTGATGACGACACATAACGAGCCAAAATAGACAATATTTACTAGTGGTGGACTTGAGCTCTTTTAAGTTATAGTTAGGTCAGATTTTGTACCTCTCGACTGTACATAACATTTTAGAAATTTCAAGTTTTTTTTAGTGAAAAGTTAGGCGATATAAATCACATTAAAGTGGAAATCGTTAGGTGTATTAATATATAAAAGAAGGATAGGAATTGAAGGACACTATTTCAACAACTTGGTGCTATAATATTAATGCTTTAAAGATACCTCCTTTCAATGTCAATCCACTTACACTCATTTGACTTTCTTTATTTTACGTATTGAATCATTTGATAATCATAAATTTTCGACTATTTATCCGAGTGAGGTAGGTTAACTTTTTTTTTTTTTTTTTCCGATTATGGTTAGATTGGAATTTTAAAGAACTAAAATTTTAGTTCGACCGGGATTAGGGTTCGTTTCTTCGATTTTCATCTTTGTCCACAGACCCGAAAGCTCAAATATCACTTTTGTCCAATGCAATCCCAATTTCCGCTAACATCAATATTGTGCTACTCCTTGTAACCAGTTGAATTATGCTCTCAACGTCGTTTTAAGACAATAGAAATAATATTGAAAGCCACTTGAATTGTTTTTATTATTATTATTTTTTATTATTGATAAAGTGAGAGAGTCACATGCTTGTAACACATTCATTTCCATGCACATGTGTTTTTCTTGTTTTTTATTGTTAATATTATTATTATTTTTAGTAGGTTGTTTTTTAAGTCTTGGATTAATTTCATTGAATTTTAGTATAATCTATACTAAAGTATAAGTTAACACATGATACTGATAAATTATATGATACTCGAGTAAAAGGAAATATACGTGAATGAATCGGGATCACCCTTAAATGAGAGCGATTCCGAAAATATGATGAAAGAGTAAACTTTAAAAGAATAAAACATGTTAAAAAACTCGGGTTGGTTTGTGAGAATAATTTTAATTCTTATATGGGTGTGGAAACCTCTACTTGATAAACGCGTTTTAATACAGTGAGGCTAACATTGATACATAACGAGCTAAAACGAATAATATTATCATTAAATTATTATTTCCAAATGATAATTTTAATTTGGAATATTTTGTGGTCAACCAATCTCTATCCATTGAAACAAGAGAGAAGGATGCCTTTTTCTCTCTCTCCCATTTCCGACATGTCGGCTCATGGAAACCATAAAAGTTCAGACCAATTTGTCTGCAAAATATGCAATAAGAATAAACCCTTTTTAAAAAAAATTTAAATGGGTTTTTAGTGTCTCAAAAATCCCTAATGGTTTTTAATTAAATGAAAATAATAGGAAAAAAAAGAATAAAATTGAAGAAGAGGGGTCGAAGTGAAAATAAAGAATTTGAAGGGACTGAAAGCTCAAAAATCAAGGAATAAGAAGGGCAGTGAGATCACATGGAGGCCATGTTCTAAGACCTTTACTATACCCTAAAAACCAAACCCTTAATTCTCTCCTTCTCCAAGTTTGGTATCAATTCCCTCAATTCCCATGTTTTGTTTCCTTTCTCTCGATCTTCAACTCCGATTTTCTTTTCCTTTTCGTTCGGGTTCTACGATGATTATACTCATCTGTTCCATAATTATCTCGAGACAGCTCTTGACTAGAAGTATGACCACTGAATTTCAAGTTCGGGTTGATCTTATATAGTCTCGTCTCACTAAACCAGATATAAAAGTTTACATTTAATTGTCGTAACCCTAAATTCTAAAAAGATTCTATTCCTTCTTCCAAAGTAATTACGATGATTATTTGTGAATATCTCTAGTAACGTTTGATGAAATCATGGAAGTATAACCGTTATTCAGATTAAAAAAAAAAAAAAAAAAAAAACTTTGAGCTCGAGCTAATTTTATAGGAGCTTGTCTCAATAAACATAACGGTCGAGCTAAACCCGTTATAAAAGTTTACATTTATTAGTGTAACCCTAAATTCTAAAAAGATTCTATTCCTCTTTCCAAAGTAATTATGATGATTAGACTCGTGCTAGCAACGTTGGATGAAAACATGACCGTTATTGATCTTGAGCTGATCTCATAAGAGTTCAACATAGCTAAACCAGTTACAAAAGCATAACCGAAATTCTCAAATGATTCTATGCCTCTTTTCAAGGAGTTAAACGTGTGGGTATATACTTACATCCCATCTTAGCCGAACTTTAACCAAAAAGAGAAACGATGTTCTAGAAAGCTACTCGATTGGGCTTTTCCCACATGGGTGTTAGTTGTACATGAATGATGAATTTATCAAATTTCAATTTGTTGCCCAAACTGTCACAAACACAATTACATTAAATTTGAAGGGTATGAAGAAAATTGAATATTTGGAAATTTTAGATGGCTATCTCTATCAAACAATTAATTCATGACATGTGATGAAGTTGGGGGACCTAACTGCAATATTGCAAAAGATAGGATTGAATGTAATAAAAACCCACATTTTTTTTGGTTCATTTAAAACAATAAATACCAATTTTAATTTATATGCACAGAGATCTGATTATGTTTCAAGGAATGCGTTTTGAAATCTCCAAAAATCTTATATAATTAATGAAATATTTAATAAGTTCGAGTTTATGAAACTCCGAGCGTTCATACAAGAAAGATAAAATCGGGCTTTCAATTTTTTTTATCAACGTCTTTATAATTTAAAAAAATATCGAATAAGTCCGTGGACTTTAACGTTTTTTAAAATTGGTGAATTTCATGGCATGTAAGACATTTAATGATATATTTATGTGAATTATAAAAATTATTACAAAGGGTAAATAAACAAATTCAAAGAACCAAACAACTCAAATGTTACAAAAATCCAATTTATGAGTCAATACCTCTTTAAATCCAACACCTGTAAAAATGTCAAACTCAAAATTTATTTGACCTATAAAAGGAATTTTATTTATGGGTCTATTTTTTCAAATAGGTTACGGAAATTACCATAATACCCTTCTGGGATCTTCAAAAAGATTTTCCAGAGGGGTATTTGTGTCATTTTGACAATGCAATTTTTTTTTCTTGATTGGTTAGTGGAATAGGAAGTGAGATTTTTTAGTTTTAAAATTTTAAAAATAAAAAAGAAAAGGGGGGAAGTAGAGTAGGGAAGGAAACGGTGTGACGTGGAAGAGGTTATTGGATTTATTAGCTGCTCTCTTCCCCCAATAATAAATTTAAAAACTCTCTCTACTCTTAACTAATACCATTTTTCTGATCACGAGTGAGAAATACTCTCTCTATTGGTTTGAGACCTTTTGGAGAACTCCAAAACAAAGTCATGAGAAAACATGTTTCAAAGTGGACAATATCATACCACTGTGAAGAGTCGTATTCGTGTGTTCGTCTAACCGTATGAACATTGAAATTTATAAGTTAAGTACTTAGAAAATTTGAATTCATTCTATTGTAAAACTCGTTAGATAATTATTTCAAAAGAAAGAAATTCATGGATAGAATTAATATTTATGAAACTAGACTAACTTTTTAGTTATGTTTTGACATGACGATTATAGCCTTTTTCATTATTAACTAACTAGCATGTTGATACAGATATATATATATAGAAGGCTATATAGACCAATTGAAAGCCGAATTTGATTCGGTAAGCACGAATAGAAAGAAGCCCTTAGATTTTGTGGAAATCTAGCGAACTATCATAACGTAAAATTCTACTTTTGTAATTTTATGCGTACGTATGACGTGTTAAACTCTGGAAAAAAATGGATAAATTTACCCTAATCTATACATGCAAACCATGTAAAAACTAAAGAATGAAATTACTAATAAAGAAATTGAATTAAAATAAATATTTGTAAATTTAAAAAAAAAAAAAAAGAAGAAGAAGAAGCCGAGCCAAGCCGAACCGAGTCGAGCCGAGAGGGGTTTGGAGTTTGGACGGTGGAGCGGAAAGACGGGGAGGAAGAAGAGAGAAAAGTCCAAAAGGGGCAAAAAGGGCAAAAAACTCAGAAGAAGAGAAGGGAGTGGAGAAACGCTGACGGAAGCTTTAGTAACGGCGAAAGTTGTCAGTTAGCCTGCTCTGGTGGGCCCCACTCTTTCTGCTTCTCTCTCTCTCTCCTCCCCTCTGAAGACGCGGAATCTTTTTGTTTTTTCTTTTTTTTCGGGGACGGAGATTATTTCACTTTTTTTTTTTTTTTTTTTTTTTTT